TACGAAAAAATATTAAAATAAAACGACTAAGTGGAAAACTAAATTATATAAAGCTAGGACTATTTAAGATTAGAGATAAGCTTAGAGAAGTTATATATCGACTGGAACTATTGAAAGATATACGTATATATAATATATTCTATAAAGCACTTCTTAAACTAGTACTAAGGAACGCTAAACTAGTTAAGATACTACCGCTAAATAAAGAACTAACACTAAAGAAATATAATATTAAGAAAATCCTTAAAAGACGCGTTATGCGTGGTATCTCTTAGTATCTAATTAAATAATTAGGGTACAACGAGTATAAAAATAGCTAAGAACTAGAAACTAACCTTTCGAGAGAACTTCTAAAGAAAGTAAAAAAGAATTACCTTAAGTGGTTTCTAACGCCAACAAAGCGTCCAGCTACCCATCGTCGAAAGTAAATTCGCTACGAACTAGCGATGGCTTAGATTCATTCGGCGTATACTTCTTCTTCTCGTTAAGACGATCTAACACTATATAAGCCCGGACTATTATATTACTCTAAGCTTAAGTTAGCTTATTTAGTTAATATTCTATTTAGTTTAGGCGAGACTACTCTTATAATAACTCTAGAGACTATTGTTATACTAAATAAGTTATCTTCTCCGTATATCACTAAGCTCGCTAAGCTATACGGGCCTAAGCCTCTTATATCTTATTCCGTAACTCTAACTTTTTCCGTTTAATACTTTAGTACTTCGACTTAGAGTACTGATCATCGTATTTTATATTCTTCTTTAGATACTCGGAATAGCGGGAGACCCTATGTTTCATTATATAGATCGAGTTAAAGCGAGTGTAATTCGAATAAGATATTATAGCGCGATAACTAGTAAATCGAACGTTACGAGACTAACGGAGACGTTTAAGGAGACGGTCGCGACTACGGGAAAGAAGCTTAGAAACTATAGCTAAAGAAAGAGAAAGAGAAGAAGAAGATATCTTCGGACCTAGATGAATTTAAGTTAGATAGTGTCCCGCTTTTATATTATCGCTAAGATAAATCCTTAGAATAAGGATCTAACCGAAGAGAGAATAGTATTAGATATAGCCTTAGAAGGGATCGGCCGAGGGCTGTACGGGCGCGGCTCTCTACACTCATTAGCTAAATGGAAGGGTCCGTAAGAGAGTAAGGCTAAGTTACGTGATATACTCTGCTGGCCCTGTTAGCTCTGCTAGCCCTGTTAGGACAGAGCGCACAGAGCGCATAGAGCGCACAGAGTATAAGCATTATATATACACTCTTATTACCCCTAGATAGCTTACACTCTCTTCGTAGCTAACTTATGTTAACTATTAGACTTATAGTTCTTAGTGATAAGTGACTCCTTATACCTTACGTTCTTCCCAACTAGTTCATACTATTAGGATTGTTACTAGGAACCTTAACTTAGTTAGGCCCCGGTAGGAATCTTAATATATAGTTATACTTAGTTATTAATTTTATATAAAATAGATTAAATATAACTAAGATAGTACTCGATTTCTTCGTTTAGTAATTAAGAAATAGCGTTTTTAATATTTTACCCCGGGAAATACGGCTAAAATTTAATCTTTAGTAGAATATTAGTAGCTATAGGCTCTAGATAATTAAGAATTCTCTAACGATTATTAATACGGAAACTTACGAGACGACTCGCTTATAAATTATCTTATTTAATACTTAAGTCGATATCGAGGATCGTTTCGCTATCGTTTTAGAGATCTATAAGATAGTTATATAGAAACCGAAGCGTAGTGAAGATCTAGAGACGTTAAAGAACTTAAGTTTAAAAAAATTAAATAAAAGATAATTAAATAACTTTATAGAGCGTTTAAAGAGTATAAAGAAGAGTTAATATTTCTAAGAGAATAGGCGAAGATTGTAGTTAAGTCTTAAGCGAGGTCGTTAAGGAAGCGAGCGATAATGGGAGAGATATAATAAAAGAAGTTTAAAGTAAGAGATAGCTTTATAATTAGCTAGGGCGTCGACGCTAGACTAAGGTTCTTCTTATATAGTCCTCGGGGACTATCATTCATAGAATAATCAATTAAGTTACGAACGGGAGAACTTCCTTTAGTTAAGTGTGCGTGCTGTGAAGAGACTATCCCACCGCCGTACGAGTTGATGCTCATAGCTAGTAGTCTCGCCCTAATTCAATATAAGTCTTCGTTATAATTCTTAATATCGTCGATATACTCGTTTATCTTTATTATTAAGTATATCGAGAGAATTAACTACGTCTCGCTCAGAAGTCGTATTTACTTTTCGCTTTTCTTCGCGTAAGTTACTTAATATAGTTTAGCTCGACGACTAATTCACGGATATACTCTCCGACCGAGAGTGAATAATTATTCTTTCGTCGATAGATATTCTACGTATCTTACGCTTATCGCTTACTTCGACCGACTTAAAGTTAACGCTTTAAGAATATTAGAGATTTCTTAGTAAGTAGATAGAATCTAACGATAAGCGTATATTTAAGATATCTTTATAGTGTAATAAGGCGAGGTGGCTGTGCTGTGATGAGCTGTGCTGGGCTGGTAGAGCGGTGGCAGGCAGAGATCTATTAGGTCACATGTCAAACCTAAATGGGCTGGCAGAGAGTGCGGAACAGTTTACAGTGCTGGCAGTGTGCCATTTACTACGAGTTTGAGCAGAGTATCATGAATTCCATGGCTTTTTGGCGCTGTCTACCTAATTTCTGAGTGTTTTCATCAGTCCTGTCCTGTTCCTCGATGCTACCGCTGTGCTAGGCGTTCGTTGCTCTAGCCGCTACCTCTCTGGGTGGTGTTGGTGATGGTGTTGTCTTGTCAGTATCAACCAGAAACGCGTTCTCGATTCCCGATCTGCTGGACAGGCCTCTGTGCGTTGTTGCACGTGCACGCCGAACCCTGAAGTGCTCTGTTACAATAGTATATAGTCGATACTATATACGACTTAAAGCGTAAGAGAGGAAAGAGTACGCCTTCTATACGGGGAGTGTACTAATAATAAGGATATACTTCTCGAGTCGTATCTCTTAGCTAGTGGCTTAATTATATTAGGCGTCCGTTCTTTCGATGTTTAGCCGAATCTATAATATTTAACGTCTTAATATCCGTAATAACTATTCGTAATTATAGTAGAAATTCTCTTATTACGGCGTTTATAAAAGAAATTTGTGGAATATCGCCCTCTAAAGGTTTAATATAAACCTTTAGTCACGTGATTAAATACGAAGTTTAAGTTCGTATTTAAACCTAGGGTCTATGAAATCACGTGACTAGTGCGATATTAATTCCGCACT